CTTCTTGATTTCCTTTTCTTTTTCTTTTTCTTTTTCTTTTTTTTTTTTTTTGCAGTTAGTAAAATTAATGGAAAACGACACAAAATAAGTGTGAAAATGTTAAGTCCCAAAATGAACAAAGAGAGAAGGAAAACTAAAATGTTATTTTATTTTTAAAATTAAAAAAAATTGATAAAAATGTCACTTATTTAAAAAAAAAATTTCAACTGAACAATTGGTTGCATCACCATCAGTCAGCGATGTGGCTACTAATTGAGAAAAAGCTTTTGGGCTAAAAAAGGATGGGGGTGGAGGTAGGATTTAATCCCATCACCTATCACTTGATGGGTTGGGCCAAAACCAACAGTGACTATTGGGCCACCAAGACTTTAAAGTTAGTATAATGCAAAAACCAAAAAAAAGCTAACTATTTAATTTTTACCATCGGTCATTCACAATCTTTGTATAGATATTGATTACATTTTATTACTTATTAATAACTTTTGTTTAGCAAGTAATAAGACTACTCTTTCAAGTCATTCACATCTTTTGTGTAGATATTAACTATATTTCAGCAGGTGTTAACAATTTTCGTTTAGTAAATAACAAGACCACTCTTTCAAGTCTTTCATAACTTGTCTTGGTATATATATTAGTCTTGTTACTTGCTAGAAAAAGGTTGTTAATAACTATTGAAAGGTAGCCAGTATCTAAACAAAAGTTGTGAAAAAAGCTGAAAGAACAACAATGTTACTTGCTTAATGAAAATTGTTAATTCCTATAGAAATGTAGTTAATACCTACATAAGAGTTGTGAATGACCTCAAAGAGTGGTATTATTATTTGATAAATAAAAGTTGTTAATACCTATTGCAATATAGTTAATACATATACAGAAAATGTGAATGACCTGAAAGAGTACTTGCTAAACCAAAGTTGTTAATACCTACTGAAATGTAATCAATACCTATACAAAAGTTATAAATGACCAGTAGTAATAGTTAACTTATTATTATTATTATTATTATTATTCTTGCATTATACTAATAGCAAAATATTGGTGGCCTAATGGTCATCCTTAATTTTGACCCATGATGAGATAAAATCCTACCTCTACCAAAATTCCTCTTGCCAACAACCAATCCACCTTGCCAATGCCGGAGCTCTAGTGTGGCAGGGGGATTTAGAGGAAATTGGTCTCCTTTGAGGAGTTTAAAACTTTCCTTTAAAAAAAAAAAAACAGAGACATTTTTTCATTCCCTTTTAATTTCAAAATGACTTTTTAGTTTTCCTCTCATCCCTAATATTAGCATTTCGTGAGTGCTTATTTTGAAATTTAGTATTTTCACACTTTTTGTGTCATTTTTCCTAAAATTAACTTAATATCTTTTTCTTTTAGATTTTTTATTTTTTATTTTAGCGAGAATCTCTCCAACTTAAGTATCTAAACAGCGCAGCTTCAGAAAATTCAGAGGAGGAAATAGTGCCACGTTGAATATTTAGTGTTTGAGATCTCCGGTTCAATTCTAGTCGCAGCTGATGATATCATCTCGATCAACGTCTCCATGTGGCCTTCCAATAATCAAAACACATTTTGGCTTTTCTAGAGGCCTGTTTGGATATCATTCAAATACACATAATAATCAACAAATATACCAAATATTTATTTCTTTGAAGTCCGGGTTCGGCATACCAAATATAGCACCACTTCAATATATTATTAACAAATTTATTTTTTGAAATTAAATTATATTATAAAATTTAACTTATATGTAATTATCATATTAACTTATACCCTTTTTAATAATTTGTACATATAAAAAGTATTTCTGATAACAACTATCCAAACACTCTCACTTCTCAAAATTACTTTTTCACAAAATCTATTCTTCACAAAATTTAGTTTCATCCAAACACCTCCTAGCTCTTTGAAATAAAAATCTAGACTAGGTTGAGTCCTATTAAAAATTTTGTAAAAAAAATTTCTCGGTCTGATAAATCATCATAACAAATTTTTAATCAACTACGTACGTTCGATGCAATTATAAGAAACGAATATTTTTTATTTTTGGTAATAATGAAACGAATATTTATAGTATTATATAGGTACCTTACTTTTGAACCATCATTGCAAGTCATCAAGTGGTTTCCTTAAAACAACCGATCCTAATTACTCTTCCGGTCCTTAATATAAGACCCATTTAACTAATTTGATTAGATTAAGGAAGTTAGGTAAGTTAGTTAATTATAAGAAAAGTGACACATTTTTTCCAAAATACCATAATCATCTTTCTTAATACCCCATCTCCCTCTTCTACTTGATTATGGGTGAGAGAGTATCTATAGGGGTAATTTAGAGAAAATTGATAAATATGATAAATGAATCTTATATTTAGGATCAAAACCAACTCAAAAATTGAGTCCTATATTAAGGACCGGAGGAGTACTAGTTATCACAACATGCCATCAGATGATCAAAGATAAATGATATGAAATGTGATGTGTTCATCCTATGTCTTATCCTTAATCATTTGCTATATAAATAATTATACATAATATTCATAATACTTACATTAGAGAAATAGATGCCGAGCCTTTCCCGTTTGAACTCTGTATTTTCTCATTTTGATTACGGCCATGTCAAATCCCTATGTTTATTATCTCGCAGTCGCCAGTAGTTGCATAATAATTGATAAATTATATTTGTTTGAGTTTACAAATAGCCAATACGTTACGCACGCAGAGCAAGTGATAATATCCATTCCATTAAAAAAAGGCTAGTAGCCCCTTCTGATTGGAATTATTAAGATATCAAAATGGGAAAATCACAGATAAAAACTCCTGAATTACTAAAATTACACAGAGGTCATCTGAATAAGCAAAATTATCATGAAGGACCCAGTCCCATATTGCAAATATAAAATATTGGTGAAATGTCTAAAATGCCCATCAGCCAAATGACAAGTTGATTATAGGAAATAATAAGTTCAATTTAGCGAATGACAACTTCAGTTCAGTAGATCAAATCACAACTTGGTTAAAAATATCATAAATGACAAGTTAACTATAAGAAATAACAAGTTTACTTTAGCGAATGACAATTTCAGTAAACCAAACCACAACTTGGCTGAGGAGCATTTCAGACATTTCGTCAAAATTTCATATTTGCAATATGAGATTGAGTCCTTCGTGATAATTTTACTTATTCAAGTGACCTCTACATAATTTTAGTAATTCGGGAGTTTTTATTTGTCATTTTTTCTGTCAAAATTACCCCGCATCATAAAGAAGTCATTAATGACTAGAGGGCTTTGAATTTATCAAAATAAACTAATTTTTCACGCCGTGATGAATCCCTCGTTTAAAAAAAAAAAACACTATCAGCCAATGATTTAATCATATGATTGCCTCTAGGAGAATGCCCAAACATAGACTAAAGAAATCATTAATCGAAATCTCTCAATTAATGACTCATCGATCAAATTACCCTCAGATGCAAGTAAAACATAATAGTACCATGTGATCCACTCTTTATAGGATAATACTTTTACCCCCTGCTTGGATGAGAAGAAAAGTTAGGGGGAAAGAAAATGAGAGGAAAATGGGGAGAAGAGAAAACTGAAAGGAAAATATTATCACTCATCGTGCTTGGATGAGTGAGAGAAAACAGGGAGGAAAGAAAATGTATAAATACCAGAATGACTAAAATGTCTTTATTATAATTATAATTAATTGGCAAGGAAACTAAATAATCCAAAATTGTCACACGGGATTAGTTCTATATAACTACGAATGGCAGCTGGAAACCTATACTTCGCGATGACCTTATTTATAAACTCCATTCTCTGCAACTTCCAAACTGCCCAGAACTTCTTCCTCCATAATAATATGGCTAAGATTTCTACCAACCCCCTTCTCCTTCTCATCAGGTTTTGTCTCCCAGCAATCTCTATTATATCTCCTTCCTTGTTTATATGCGTTCGTGTTTATATGGTTGCTTGCGTGTATTGAAGATATATATATATTTTAATGGTGCAGCGGGAGATGTTGCAGAGTTGTGGCGGAGAATGGGAGGTTGGGGGCGGCTGAGACGGCAGCGAGGAAGGAGGTGGGAGATCAGACAATGAGCGTTTGGTGCAGGAAAGGATGAGGACCGATGCGAGCTTGGCGGGAGAGGGCAATGAGGGGAATGAACCGAAGCAGTGGAAATCTCTCCATATGTGGAGAGAAATTTTGAGAGGAAAATGGGGTATGAGGCCCACTATATTTTTCCCTCCACTTTTCCTTTCTCTTCTATTTTCTTTCTCATCCAAGCAGGGGAAAACTTCAATCCTCTCCTATTTTCCACTCCACTTTTCTTTCCTCTCTCATTTTCACTCAATCCAAGCAGAGCATTAGGTACCATTTAGTACGAAATATCGAAAATGAGATATAAGGATTGGGATTGAGATTGAGAAAATATTTAACATGAGAAATTACATATTATATGGAATTAAACAAACCAATATATGTGGGATAAATACTGCCATAAGTTTGTCTAATCTCATATAACAAGTAATTACTCATACTAAAAAAAATTTTAATGACTTTTTTCAATTATAATCCTAGTTTCTGTTCGTCATTTTTAATATTTCGTACCAAACAGAACCTTAGTGTTTGTTGTCGTATTCAATATCATAGTCCACCTGATCCTTATTATAAGCTTCAAATAATTAATTTACAAATAACAAACAATTAGTTAAAAACAATAAATAGGTTATAAATATACTTTTATTTTCAAATATGTCTCTATAATAAATGAGAAAAAATATAAAAGAAAATGTGCGGAAAAATGTGATAAGAGAGAAATAATTAAGAGTAATATTAAAAAAAATGCATTAAATGTTGTAACAAGCCCAAATTAAAGCTTATAAAATAGACCATACTGCTTTCCAAATTTAAAGCTTATAAATAGAACCAAAAGAAATATCAAATAACATTAAAAAGAAAAGGAGAAAGATGAAAAATTCAAACTTATAAATCTGAACCATCTAATGGTGCTTGAATATTCAAATAATAATTCAACAATAAAGATTCATGAAGGTGAATAAAATAATAGCTCGAGACCAAAACCATAAACATCAAGTGGCATTACTTCACTGAAGTAGTAAATTTTACATCGCTTCCTATAAACACCTAATTCAAAAAGAACCATTCTAAAACTCGATTCTCTAGCTCTCATTAAGCCGACCTAATCTCCTATTTGACACATTTATCATACACTTACAGTCTAATTCCTACTCTCCTCTCAGATGGCTAACAACAGTTTAAAAATGCCTTAACCTTTCTGAGCTCACTTGGATATATCACAACAGAATCTAAACACAGACCACCTTTTGTGTGGGTGCAATCAATTTGAGTCAGAGAGAACTTAACTCTTGTAGATGCATTCCCATTCTGAACCACGAAATCGCCTGCATGGTAGAAAACCCATTTCCCAGGCTCTTTCAGGAAACACTGGGATGAAACCGACTGTCCATCTGAGGTCCATAGCTGGAATCGTACAGGCTTTATGTCCCAACCATGCACATGCTCAGTATTGCAAACTCTTCGTCCAAATCGTTTGGAGGCTCGTCCCAAATGTAGTCTGAAGAATAGGCTGTATGTTCCTGCTGGAAATGGAAACTCTACTTCACCATCAACTTCAAACCACCAGATTTGCTGAAGATATGCGACGGTATGGAACCTGCAAGCAATGAAATAACACCAGGTTTAATTCCAATGCTCAATTAAACTAGACTAGATCTTTTTTTGTTTTCGAAAATTAAAAATCAGCTCCAAGACCTGTTTCATCAGTTATAAGGAAGGAGCACAATCAGGTTCATTCAAGGGCTTATGGGTTTTAATCTTCTCTATCTTTATCTACATGTGTTTCTTCACAAGAGCATGCCAACATTCGTATGACACAAGATACCTGATTCCACATCTTACTATTATAAGACCACTGGCTTGTCATGTTTTAATCGAAGAATTGGCAGGATTTATCTTCTGTAATATCACGTGCATATACAGTATGTTCAGAAGATTAACCTAACAAACTGCCCTTGTTCACCTTAATATCCCAAGTGGCAACGGATCGAAAGGAATAATTTACCATTAATTTTCTTATCAGCCCCTTCTAACTTCCGACATAAAACAGTTTCCTTGAAATGTATCAGTACATGGACTCCTGATTACTGACATGGTTTGATAATCGGGGTGAATGTACTTCTTGGGATGAATGTACTTCTTGGACGACCATAAAGAGATCTATAATGCAAAATGAACGCAATTCAACTTCCGTCCAAGAGTTACAGAACACAGTAACAGCTGTTGACAAAATCTAGAGTTCAGTAAAGCTCACATTCTTGAAATACATAAACATTCAGCATCTTAAAGGATAAATAATAGAAGAATCGTCAATATTCCTTATAAAAGGGTGCTGCACTGTACACAACTCATGAACAATATGACTCCCTTCAGGCCTGGCTCCATACAATTTTTTTCCCAATCTTTCTCCACATGTCTCATTGGGTTTCATGCAACTTTTATCACTCTTTAAATTATTTTACAAATTTTAACAGGATTTAGATGATAATAATAATACAATCATTTAAAAACGTTTTACTTATTCAAGACCAAAAACTTGCAATATATCACCCATTCCTTTTATCGTTATATATTCGGTCACTAATCGATCCGAAAAGAAGAGAATCATAGAATTACCACATAAGATAGTGACATAACCTACTTTGACGAGCTCCAGAGAAACTCCATAACGCGTGAACTTTCAAAAGCGATCTAAAAAAGTACTCCTACATCTAAATGATGAGAAATAGAATTGTTCTGACACCTAAACATTTCTACACGCCTCAGATAACAATTGTGAAGAATCTCACCTAGATTCTTCAGTCGGGATATGATTCCAATACCTTCGATCATCAATCCCGGTTATTGAAAGTCCGTCGGATGATATGGACAAACAAAGTTTACCGGTGCTTCCATCCAGCCAAACTTTCTGCAAAATTCCATATATTCAAACTCATCAGAGAATTTAACCCCAAAAAAAAAATCATCAGTCAAGGGGATAAAAGGAAACCCTCACAAGAATCAATGCCTTTACAAGCGAAACTAAGAACAGGAGACAACTCTTTTGAGAATTAAGGGTTAAAATAGTATGATTAATCCCCCCCGGTGGGGGGGATAGAATCAGAAATCCGAAGTCGCATATCGGGAAAAAAAATAAAGGAACGAAAAAAAAAAAAACAGAGAAACCGCCCCGCTCCTACAGTTGACAGATTTCAATTGATAGCTTCAATTCCTCGGATCTGATACAAATTTTCGTCAATACAACGCAACGAAAACCCAAACCGACCGTAAAAGTTATGCATAATTTTAACCCTCAGGATTAGAGCCTTCTTCATTGTTTTGGGAGGAAAAGTCGACATGATACAAAGAGTAGTCTAAAAGGTTCGATTCAGCAAATCTCCTTATATCAGTTATTTCTTAAAAATGTCTCCGAACCAACTGCATAGCAAATCGATCATTTACCTTTGTGCCTTCATCAAGAGTATTCTTTCGGCACAGCCTAGTGTAAATCCCTCTCTTCCCCAAATCCCTAGGTAAATCATCGAAAATTTCCCTGATAAGAACGTCATAATTGGGAGGCAACTTCGATTCCCAAACAAAATCGGCCCAGGACGCCCCACGGAAGGTCCGATTCAACCCAGCTAATTCACATATCTGCGAAGGATTCATATATCCAAGAATCAAAGCTACACAGCTCTCAGGTAAATCCCCCAAAGAGGGTTTTGACGGCACAATCTGAGACCCATTCCGGTCCGCAAACAAGGACGAAAAGCCGATTCCCATCATGAAGTGAAGGAACGAGGAGATGGAGAGAACACTACAAGGTTCAAAGGTTCTGAGCAAATTAGTTTCATATACAAAACCCCCCCGGGGGGAGAATAAAGAAGAAAGAGAAGGAAAAGTGGAGGCAAGCGTTCAGTCGTAGGTGGCGTCCATTTGTTTGTTTCCTAGGAAAGCGAATTCGACAGCGGAGATTGATTTGGACGGAAAGCAGACGATGCCGTGGTGAGTTATAGACGCCGACTATCAAGAAGATGCTACACACGCTATATATACTATATAAATATACATACATATGTATGTATGTTTGTACTATGTATCTATGTATGCGCGTGTATGAGTATATTCCGCGTGTATGCGACAGGAAACAAACAGTGAATTACTCCTCTTATTCTAAATATAAGACTCTTATACATACTCCTAAACAATGAATTACTATTTAGAAATGGGGTTTTTGGCATGTACCATATACACGCGCATATATATATTTATATATATATTTGCCAACATATACATATATATATATATATGAATGGTTTTGGTAGTGTCATATTTATTAACTAATTGCCTGGTCAAAAAAAAAAAAAAACTAATTGAGGGCAAGCGTATTATGTGTATTCCAGTTGGATTGGGATAAGGACTTTTAACTTATCTGGATCCATTTCATACATCGCCCTTATCAATTGACAATTGTTCCATTGCCAAATTGTTGCAATCGGTTCGTAAAAATCGTTATTTTAAAAGTTGGCAAAAGAATTAATTTAAAACATTTTATATTGAGTAAGAAAGTTATTGAGTGATTTATAATGCATTAAAACTAAATCATGTTTTACTAAAATTATCATTTCATTGAATACTTTCTTGGGCGATATAATAATATGAGTTTACTGTAATTATAATATTACTTCTTAATAAAAGATTCTTAATCAAATTCATAATTTTAGTCAAAATAATCAAATTCTTTATTAATAAGTATTTGAGTATGTTTTGGAAGTTCTATAAGATGGAGAAGCTAAAAATTAATTTTGATAATTAATTATTATTATGGTTCGATATTGTTGTAATATTTTATTAATTTGTATTAAAATTAAATAATGTTAATAATATCAAAGTTAACTATTGTGACTGACTAAATTTGGCTTTTCTACCGAAATACGATAAACAGTAAAATTATATACTAATATGCTGCACTTTTAAAAGTATTTACCAATATACTGCAGTTAAAATCGTTATTGGCAAGAACGACTTTCAAATTACACACAAGTTATTCTTAGCATGAACGATTTCAAAAATCGTTCTTGGAGTAAACGATTTCAGAAATCGTTCTTGGTGTGAACGATTTTACTTTTTATTTTTTTTGAATCAAAAAGTGAAATCGTTCACGTGAAGAATGATTTCTGAAATCATTCAAACGATTTCTGAAATCGTTCACGCCAATAATGATTTCACTTTTTCTCTTTGCCAATTTTGCACAGCTTGTCTGATCTCCGCTACCTTTCCTGTTCACGGCCCTCCACTGCCACAAAACGCCAATGTTTTGCCTCAATATGGAGAGATTAGGCGAGTGAATTGAATGAATCAGAAGAAACAAAGGTCGCAAGAGAGAGCAAAAAATAAGCAACCTGGATTTTTTTTTTCACTAGTGGATGTTTAACACCATTAGCAAATAAATAAAAAATTATTCAACACTTACTAATTTTATTTTATTCAACTCACTATATTTAATAAAAATTAAGGATTGAATATAAACTACTACCTCTAGTCTTTAGTATAAGACACAGTTAACTAATTTAGAGCGATTAAATAAGTTACTATTATGAAAATGAGAAATATAAGTAAGATTTGGAATGAAAGAGATGAGTAAGATAAGAGAGAAATTGAGAGAAATAGGAGTGTATTCTTATTCATTTTGGATGATCAAAATGCGTATTACATAGCCTTCTATTTATAGACTCCAAAACTCAACTAAGGGTTACATAAAATAAATAACAATATTAATTCACATAAGTGTGGTACATGTAACCTCTTAAGTTATGGAATAAAAACTCCTAAAAACTATTCAATGGAGAGGTTATAGAGTGTAGAATATGAAAGGTCAAGAGTTGAGAGAATTTATGGACATCCACATATTCTAATATTTATAACACTCCCCCTTGGATGTCCATAAACAAATATTGTGCTTCATTAAAACCTTAATAGGAAAAATCCAGTGGGACAAAAACCTAGTGAAGGAAAAAGAGTACACAATATATATTAAGACTACCTCATTAAAAACCTCAACCAGGAAAACCCTGTGGGATAAAACCTTGGTTAAGGAAAAGAGTACAACATGATCTTTGCTCCCCCTGTCAATAGCACAACTCTATATCATTTTATCATAATAGAGTATACTAGTTCCTCAAGTCGTCCAATGCTTTTTCAAGCATATTTTTCTTAGTCGAACTATGCATAGTACATCATCATCAGCTTATATTGAAATATATTTCTCTAACATATCTTCTAGATATGTGGAATTATCAATATATTCTTCACTTGCACTAAGAAAACTGCCAAGAAAGGTTATTCTAAAAAACACCATAATATATCTTGCATCAGCATGATTAATTTAATTTGAACAAAATGATATCATATAATAGTTTTATAGAACTATATATCCAATCTTAATTTCGTTATTTACACGCACACCTGCAGAAACTTATTTTTACCAATAAAATTATAACACATAATATTGACAATATATGTAAATATTATTATAGAATCAATATATGGGACTTCTAGTCTATTTAGTTGAATACATTTTGCAGACAAAATTATCATAAGAAAATCAATCATTTTGCAATCATTGATGCATTCAATAACTTGATCTACGGGTCAAGTAAGATATGAAATTATTTATTTTCTAATACATTTTTCTAAGCCAGATATGTATACTCAGATTATCTTATTCAACATAATATTTTAAGCATTGGATGATTTTCTTCTATATAAATGCTTCTGGCATTTTAAATCCCTCAAGAATTCTCATGTAAACTTCATTATTTAGTGAGCCACATGTATAGGCTATAACGATATCTAACAGACTCATATTTCATTTTTCATATACTACCAAACTAGTAACATATGCAAAAATTATTGCATCCACCACAAAATATTATGCCTAATCATAATCACTGGCTTTTGTGAAATTCTTTATTTTCACAAAAATATTCATATGTCACATAATAACTTTGTATTTGATGTGTTTGGACTGCAAGTCCATAATTTTCACATATTAAAATAATAATTATATTTCCATTACATCTTTCCTCTTTTCCTTTTTCTTTTGGCCAAATTTCTATCTTCATATAAGATCCTCTTTAAAATCACGTGATATTATTATCAAAAACGTTGTCGACAACTTTATCTTTTTGGTTCTATTTTTCCTCTTGTGACATAACTTATTGAGATCTCTTCATTACTTTTCAGGTATCTGAACCTCTTCTGGGGCTTTTTTTTCAATAAGTTATATCTTGGCACTCTTTTAGAGCGCATGCCTTCTTAATATGACTTCTAAATTTCATGCTCCTTTCTATTCGGTATAATTATATTGGAATCGATTAATCTCTCATGCTTCAGGCATGTCTCACTTTTATTTATACTAATTGGAGCATTTTCAGCTGGAACATGAGATTTAGTAATACTCACTTAGGTTAGCAATAGCATCTGGCACATATTTTGTAATATCTCATGAATGCATTCTTTGATGAACTTCTAGTTCATACTATCATATATCTGAGGATCTATATTTGATAATAATAATGCATTCTATATGTTATCATTTCCAGCTACTCAATTTCTGCCCCTCATGTTGGGAAAACTTTGTTTATGTTGAAAAACCTTTGTCAAATAACAATCAATTAATCATACAATATAAATCTCCTAAATTCATTTGTTTCATTTAGAAACATCCTTTCATCTCATTTAGAAACAAAAAGGAGATTCTTTCTCAACATATATCCCAACTTTTTTTTTAAATATCCATCTATGTGCATTGTGGTGCACTGATAGTAATAAATATTGCACATTTAAAATTTTAAGATGGAAATATTTAGCTCCTGACCAAAAGCCAATTTTTATTGGGAGAATTTGTTAGCTTGATATGTATAAGTGCTATAAAATGTCAAATCAAATATGCCAACACTGAAATGAAGATCTTGTTCTCAAAAGTATTGATCTAGCTACTTCTGAAGGCTTTGATAAATTATTCTACTAGATCATTCTATTGAGTAGGCTTTTCAGCAATTTTCTAATAAATATAGGATAATCATTTAAAAGCTAAGATATAAACTCACTGGTGTTTGCTATAGAAATTTTCTGAATCATATTTTTCTAGAAATGTGCACTCAACACATAAAATGATCTACTCAATTAGTCTTGCAAACTTCAGGTTGCAATCTAATAATAGCACATGTAACTATCTTATAGATGCATCTATCAAATTTATTAAATACTTGTATGATTTACATGCTATCGGTATGGGCCCATATATCTGAATTTGATATATTTCCAGAAATGTAGAGATCTATTCCACATCATAACTAGTGATATCAACATAATCAATTTTTCTTTGAGAACAAGAACTATATGAACTCTTGAATCATATAATAGATTATCTATTCATGAAGAATCTTCTGATTCTTCAATGGATATCAATAATAATCATCAATGATTTGTTACATCATATACATGATTCATGATGATCAAACAAGGCATACCAACTATAAATCTAATTGGACAAATAAATTTCTGGTTTACTGTAATAAATTTCTTATATAAGTAAAACTCTATCTAACGTCAACTCACACTTGTATTAATTCAATTGGGCTATTGCATTTTAGACCCTTTGAGAATCGAAGTTCTGATGTAGATCAATGGGTCATATTTTTCACTATCAATTCTTTGTTTGTCCAAAAAAAAATTTGCATTAGTTCTTCAGAAACTATATTAATATTTTTACACATAGTTCTTCAGGAACTATGTGATTTGAAGAGATTAAGGAGACAAATTCATCTTAATAACATTGTAATACATAATAATGAATAGTTATAAATATCATAAATTTAATTTGCAATGTACACAGAGTTTACACATGCTATAAAAAATGATTTTGCCTAACCAATCAAGATTAATATTAACTATTTATAAT